ATGTGAGGGTAAACAAGCCATTTACTCTTGCTGGTTTCTGCTCATTTGTAAATTGATAAGCATCATATAAGTCCCTTAAAACACCAGCCTCTAAGAGCAGTAGTGAGCAGTTTCTTTTTTGTCTATACTTGCTATTTATTTAGACTTCTTGTTTGGAACAAAAAACAAAGAATTCACAAATCCCAACTAGTCACATGAAGTGAAACATCAGCTTTCAGCTTCCAAATAATTAAGCAGATGGCGGCAGAAGACCTGTCAGTTGCTTCTTTCTTCTTGGAGAAGTTGGCAGGATAACCGCAATCCCAGGGCTTCTCTATTGAAGCAGAGAGATGGGATTTTAAAAAGTAACCCTTTCCATCCCAAGTCATGGAGGTAATACGTAGTGGGAGAGATGTCCATGTTTCAGAAACAGGGCCAGCGGCTGGGTGAAAGCCACAGGACCACCACTCCAGGAGGTGACACAGGGACTCTTGCCAAGTCCTGAGTTCAGAATTGTGTTTTTGAGATGAATATAGAAGCATCTAAAGGTCAAGGAAAACATTCTTCTCTGCCTCAGAGACTCGCACAGCCCCACAGATGACTTGACCTCCCAGGGCTGGCCTGCCCCAGGCCTCACTCTGCCGGCAAAGACCACCATCACTCCTCAAAGACATCAGTTACAACTTTTCACCAGAGCGCTTTGGTTCCTTCCAGAAATGGTGACCTACAACATTAGTTTCAAAAGTCATCATATTTAATGGGAATAGTGAAAAACGTGAGGCTACTCCCTTTTTTTTCACTATTTAATTTTTTAAGCATTTTTAAAAATTTTTATTTCTCAAGACATAAGGTTGAAATGGATATCAAAAATTTGAATGAGCCGAAGACCTTTGCCTGAGGGTGGGATGGGAAGAATGTTTTTGCTCAGTTAACTCCCTCTTTGGATTTGGTGTAACCTGGTTTTCTTAAAGTATTGTCTGGTAACATCTAGAGTGACAAGCCTAGGAAATGTACCCTATGCAGTTAAAAAAAACTCCCTGGCTAACTCCACATAGATGTCAGTCTCTCTTATTATCTATCTGAAAAATAGAAATAATGAAATTTGACTTCTCATGATCTGGTCCAGCAGGAATACTGGGAGATGTAATAGCGTGCAGTGTTGATCTCTGCTCTTCTCATATAAATTGATATCACAATGGAAGATGGCCACATCCTGCTAGGCATTTTTCTGGAGGTACCTGGCATGTTATCTCACAGGCAGAGACCATAGCTGCCAGCCAGAATTGCTTTTTTGAACAGTGATACCGTTTTCCAGGAAAAGATAAGGAAAATTAAATGATTAACACTAAACAATACACCCACCTGCATTTTTCTGGGTTCAGACTCTTCCGTTGAGGAGTAATATGCTTATACACTATACATTTTTTTCCATTACTGAAATGGTCTTTTGTGTTGACTTCATCTTCATTGAACAGCTTGAGGAAAGCCAACAATTATAACCCCCAATGAGATCATGCGGCAGATTGAATTTTTTAGCCAACTGCAGCCTCAGGAATTAGGCAGGTTGAGAAGACAACGAGATGGCACCCTTAAAGCCAGCACCTGGGCATTTCAGGGACAGTCTGAACCTTGCTGACATTTCTGTACCTCTGATGGTTCAACTCCATGATGGGCAGACCGTGAAATAGAAATATTTTCTGACAGCAGTTGTGATTGTGTTCCTCATGGAACCTCTCTGGTGACGACGATGATGAAACAGTACAAAAAGTTGTTGGTTCCCTTCAGTTCCTTTAGAATGAAGTTATAGTCCACTATAGAGGTTATGGCCATTATCTTTTTACATTTTATTTTAGAGTTGAGTTGTGGGGTATGTGTGAGGACTTACTACATAAATAAATTGCATGCAGGTGAGGTTTGGGCTCCTATTAGGCCCTCTCTCCCTCTGATAGTGGGGCTGGTACCCAGCGTGTGGCTATGGGCCCCTTATCCCTCCTCCCTTCTTCCCTTAGCAGGGTCCAGAATCTGCTGATCCCACCCTGTGCTCATGTGACCAGTGGTGAGAACATGTGGTATTCACTTCTTTGGTTCTGTAATAGTTCACTTAGAATGACGGTCTCGGCTGAGGTGAGTAGATTGCCTGAGCTCACAGGTTTGAGACCCGCCTGGGCAACTTGGCAAGACCCCACCTCTACAATAAATCAAAAAAATTAGCCGGGCGTGGTAGTGCACGCCTGTAATTCCAG